GCCAGAATCGGACTGGAACGCACTACTTATGGTGTGGACTTACCCTAACAAAATAAAAGTTGATCTGCCAAAATTTAACTAAGCTCCTGTTGTGGGCTGAGAACACACAGCATTTTTGTGGACTGAGTGGTGTCAGTTGTTCCCAGTTGTCCTTTGCTAAAGTACTCATCTCTAAAATTTGAGACTAATTGTTAGTTTACACACACCTTATTGGTTGCAGTGCAATAACCCATTTTTCCCAGCTACTGGAGATGCAAGTGAAATGTGTAGCTGCATCTTTCTTACCCAATGTAACCAGGGAGATGGAGAAGGGAGCCATTTTGAAGAAGGAGAGGTATTGCCATATATATTCATGAAAATTCCTTTTTAAATAGAGCTACTATAATGATCCACTTGTAGTTGGTGGAGTAACTTTCTTTTTTAAGAAATGTTTTTCACCACTGAATGAAGAAATAACTGTCACGCTAAGAATAAAGCAATATTACAGTATTTTAGTTGTCTTCATCTACTGGGGACTGGAAAACATGAAAGTGCACTTAAACTACAAGTGTCACCTAACTAATGCCAAAATGCAGACTTGCTATGGCCCTTAAGAAGTAGTTTACATACAGAAAATGACTGTGCAAAACAATTATATTCCTGAGTGGGTTATTTCAGATTATGATGCAAGAAAAATGCCTTTTCCATTAAAGTTGTTGTTGGACTTGATGGACCTGTGTCTTTATTCAACTTCAAATACTATGTAACTATGTCATAACCTTTTCCTTGTCATACTTTTAGTCTCTTCATTTTCAAGGTTACATGGTAGTGGTTACAATGCAAAAATTATGCTGACCTCAGCAACTGAAAAATCTGAATTGAGAAAGCTAGTCGGATGACCAGCTAAGCGTCTTCAAGAAAAATACAGCAAGTCCAGTTTCCTTGATTTATATTTACAGATATACCATGACCTGGATGAACGAGAACCTTCACAGACATGATCATGTACCTGATTTCTTTGGTAGATTCTTTGATAATGTACCCTTTCAATGTATGCACAATGTCTCCTAAAACACCAGCAGAGTCAGTAGATGTGCTGTAGAAACTAAGAAAGGTCCAAGTGCATGCAGCTCTAAGACTGGGCATTGCAAATATTACATGCAATTTACTAACTGCAACCAAAACAACTGTACCAGAGCATTTCTCCAGCTGATATGCATCTCCTGCTTGACAGTACTTGAACGTACAGTATAGTATATTTTAGTGTGTAATATTTGATGCAACATTTTTTACATCCTTACTTTTCCATGTTATTGTATTATATAGAGAGTTTTGTAGATTAGCCCCTATAGGGAGCAAACATTCAATTTGCAATCACACTGCCTTTTTTGATAAGAGACTGTAGAGATAAGATATCATCCACATAGGGTGTATATTTAACAATATTTTCAATTTCTGTTTTTCAAATAAACTTTTGATACTCTGTAAAGAATATCCAGAGCAGTATGGGTTAGCCCTATAGACAGCACAGGAGAAAATGCAGCACCCGTTGTCTGAGTGAAACCTTTTACAGAGCCATCTGATAAGTGATAAGTCACTGCTATGATGCCTTAAAAAGTTCTGCAAACAATGTGATTTATATAAAAGCAAACAGACTAGAAAACACGGAAAAAGACTACAACTCTACCTGCTTGCTCAAAAGGATGCAAAATGTATTTTTAGAAAATTACTTTTTTAATGACCATAACTATACAAATATGTACATAATATTCCTTTTTAACACATATGCTGTAGAAATATATTACTTGAAAGAAGAAGGTGGCAGGTATAAGGATAGAGATGTATTTAAAATACCAGAAAGCTTTACCTAGCGTCTTGGTGAGAAAAAGAAAAAAAACAAAAAAAAAACTATTTCCAAGTTCATTTTAAGTGAAAAGATTCAGCAATTTGCATATATTATGAAATGGTCATTATTAAGTTCACCACAATGAAGGTCCATTCTAATTTAAAACATAACACATAGTGCTTAAACAGTTTTAATATTTAATAAAAAGGTCTTATGAGGGAATTTAAACTTTAAAAAATGTAATTTTAATGTGAGGCCTTGCAGATATCATTTCATCAAGTCACTTTACGACAAGAGGCATTTAGTGACAGAACAAAGGTGAGATCACTGTTAATTAACAGACCATAGATCAAGAGTAGAAATTGACTGTCTGCCAAACTTGTGTCTATTATCCTGACATAAAATATTTACAAAGTGCTTCAGAATCTTCTTCAAATTGAAAGGAATTCAACTTTAATGCACTTAAAAAGCTGTTTCGGAGGGGAATAAAGATGATGTATCCTCTTTTATGAAGGCAGTTTCCTAGTTCTGCTAGAGAGGTGCTGAAGGAATATATAGATGCACTGCCTGGCTATAGATGATGTCTTGTTTAAGTAAAGACAAGACACATCTGCCTTTGGCCTTACAAATGGATCAGCAAAAGGTAACATCTTCCCATGTTTCATCTAGGAAACCTCTTGATATGTGACAACAAGCACTGTACCTTATAGAAAAAGTATTACTGCTAACCAATAGAAATTACTACCAACATGTGAAAAATCCTACCCCCTCAGTCCGAAAGCAATCTTATCATTTACATATGCTTGTGCACTAATGTTACCACATATTAATACTAATCAAAGCAAGTATCCAATACATTGTAATGACAAATATAAGTTAAAGTGTAAAACAAAACAAAAAAAACCTGATATAGTACCAGTGGCTGTCTGGTTTTTCTTTTATGACTTGATAATCCTACCATTTCCCACCCTAGAGGGACAATGTTTACTCATTGACAACCTAGGACAGGACTACAGAACACCCACTGCCTGACCTTTTCTTCATAACATAGATGGAGGTGTTTTATAGTCCCCAAAGATCACTGGGAGCAAGTCTACCTAACAGTTAGCAAAGGCAAAGAGGACAAGAAGTTATCAGCTGAAACACAAGGCCTGCAGGCCAAAGCCGACTCACCAGGCCATTTCATATGGCCCTCGGCACCTCTCCTGCAGCTGTGGCACCACCCTCCTCTCAACCCCCACCTCGTCTCAGCAGACGGCAGCAGAGATGAGGACAAAACACTTTAGATATGTTGACTAGGGATACACCTATACATACGAGTACTACTCGTGAAAATGCCTTGATTTTAAGCGCCGTTACCAGCACAATACAGTTTTAACCCCTTAGTGGCCGAGGCCTTTTCCCCCCCCATTTTTAGTATCCGTGTAATAATCCACATTTTAGGCCTAAAAATTACATCAACCCCCACACACATTGGTCTGGTCCTCTAGCAACTTCAGCGCAAACTTATAGCTAATTTGCCTACAAACGTCAGGTGGTCATAATAATCTGGCCACTCAGTGTATATGAAAGCCAAGAACCTGCAGAATAAAATGGTGACAGTTGCAAATTTTTATGTTGTACGATATAAGCGCACAGTATCATCAAACCTCAACATTTTGTGAAAAATGCACTTAAATACCCATTTCTTTTTATAAAAGATGAGGTTATGAGTAAATAGATACCCAACATTTTAACTTTTAGAAGCGGTATAGTAAAAGGCTTCACAAAGGTGAAGGTCTGATATTATGTGATATCCCAGTATGCAAAGTTAACTGTCCTTCTTTGACTCTTTAACAAGCGTGACCAAAAATAATAAATTACATGGTAATGAAAACAGCCATAAAATACAGTTAAAAAGTTTGGTTCCTAAATTTGAAGGACCACTTAATCCCAAAATTGAAATTTTCACATGTGAACCATGAAGGTAAATTATATTGTTTAGTGGTATTTTTATCTTTGCTCAAAAAGAAAGCATTAATTTTAAACAAGAGTTAAATGTGAACTTATTTTGCTGTGGCTTTAGGCATCAGAATTAAATCCTTTCTTTCCACAGTGGTCATAATTGCTAACCACTTAATAAGACGACTTTTACTTTATGTCTTGGTGGCCATGGTGATTACAGAAAGGATTTTATGACACATGCCCATGACAGAGGTGTCTATCATCTTCCTGCGAGCTCTGTAACACCAGAGTGAAACGGTACATGGAAAAATACAAAACCACATTTTGCTATGTTTAATATAAGTGTTGATTTGCAGTGATGCAAGCCATTTGCTGACACATGCAAGCATACTAAAACTCCTCCTCAATAGTGAGAAGCAGAGAGAGAAATATATGTATGCTCTTTTGTGATAAAGTCAAATAACCAAGATTAGCAGAAGTCAGTGTGCATAGCTTCAAAACACCTTACCACAACTGTTAGTAATAGCCCACAAAACGCAGAGTAACAGAGTGCTACATATCCTTTACACTTCCACATGCACATGCAAGACTGTGCATATTTACATTAGTGAGTGTGGGTGTCAGTGAATTTAGATGTGTAAGTGTCCACCTGATATGAAAAGGCTCATCTAAATGACAGAAGCTGTGACAGAAGCTGCAGTTAGTGACCGCTGAGACAGTTGGCGCTGTGATTACAGCGCCACGGTCTCAGTGATCACAAAGAGAAGACAAAGTAAGTCAGTTCTTCGTCTGCTCTATGGTGATCTCGATCGTCGCCGCTGCTCGGTTTTAATACGAGTGATCTCATTAGATCACTCGTATTAAACGAGCAGTGGCGCCTGCTACTGATCACGATCGCCGACGCTCGTTTTTATTACGAGTGATCTCATTAGATCACTCGTATTAAACGAGCAGTGGCTCCTACCACTTGCCCGGCGACCGAAACTGCATGTCTCGAGCGTCGGGATTCGCTCCATAAGACGCAGGCACATTTTCCCCCTCCTTTTGGGGGGAAAAAGTGCGTCTTATTGAGCGAAAAATACGGTATATAATTTTGAACAAGGAATAAGAAGATAACACTCTTCCTTTCTTAAATGGCATTTCTGTCAGACTAGTTTAATTTATTCCTGTGTCCATCACACACAAAAAGCAAAGGATTCAGAGGAAAAAAAATGTCTGCTTGAGTACTTACGAGACTATGTGATAGATGCCTTCCGATCTTCCTTTCCGAAGTCTTAACAACCATGCCCCTGGATTGGCCTTTAGCTGGAAATATCCCTATTGGATTGTAAATGAGAAGTTTTTAAGATTTAAATAAACAAAACATAAAATGTATTCCAGCTCGAAGAACCTGGATTCTTGACCAGCCTTACCTGTAAATTCTGTTTCTTGGAGTACATCAAAGGACACAGGGAGTTATTTCTTGAACCAATGGGTTATACAGCTATCTTCTGGTGATTGGACACTGGCAAACAAAGCTGTAAGGCCAGCCCTGTATAACCCCTCCCACTCTCAGTTTTGTAGCAAGCAGTACAAGAGTGGATCACAGAAAACAGAGGTGAGAGTCCTGTATCTTGTGATGTACACCAAAAAGGGTTTCACAGGTAAAAGACAAAGTCTTTTCTTGGTCATACAATAAAAGACACATGGAGTTACGAAGCAATTACATGTCCAAAAGCAGTCCAACAAAAGGGCGAGCAACACAGAAAACAATGGCTTACAGGCTCATTAAAAATGCAAGCAGATACCAGCAGGGAACTATAACAGAGAGCTGCCTGAATAACTTTGCAGCCAAAGCTGGGATCCGCAGAGGCCTAAATGTCCATCTGGTAGAACTTTGCAAAAGTGTGAATAGATGAACAGGTGGCATACTTCAGAAACTGAACTGTGATGCTGAACGCTCCAAAAAGAGTGAGCCTTTACCAGAAGAGAAGTATCTTTATCCTTCAGCTCAAAGGCCTGAGTGATCGTTCTTGTAACCCACATCAAACAACGCTCACATTCCAAAACCAGTCTTTCAACCACGCTTGCATGGCCGGGTGCAGGCAAAAAGAGTGCCGTCGCCCGTAATAACACAATTCGAAAAATAGCCAACTACATGAGTCTTCACCATAAGTAAAATTATTTACAAGACAGATACACACCATATGCTCCTCTCCATATGTGATTATGGTGTGTATCTGTCTTGTAAATAAACAAATTTTACTTATGCTAAAGACCCTTGGAGTGCGGCATTTTTGGAACTGACGAATAGTTCCCTGAATCCGCCTAGCCATAGTAGAAGAAGCCGGCTGCCGCATACGGGGACCCTCCAGAATAAGGAAGCAAGAGTCACATTTGCAGATGGAAGCAGTAGCAGTTTTGCACCTTATGCCGTGCTGTCAGGACTAAGTTAATTTCCCTTGGAGACACTGGAGGGCGTGCTGGGGGGACAACATGAGCGACCCCTGCACAAATGCTTTCAATAGAGAGTGAGAAGGCAAGAAACATCTGAAAAAGAATCACCAAGACTCTGCAGGGGCAGAGGAGAAAACCAATACACATACCAGCTGTTAGGTGCAGCAGTGGCTGTGAGCAGCATAGTAAAACTTGCTACAAGAGTCATGAGCAGAAAAGTGCAGAAAAAGGTTGTGCTTCTCTCCGAACAGAAAAAAAAGGCATCCATCACCTAAGGACAGGGAGGGGTTATACCGGATTGCCCTTACAGCTTTGATTGCAAGTGTCTAATCACCTGAAGGTAGCTTCAGAAAGAACTCCCTGTTTGAATCCCTCTGATTGTACAGTAAAAAACTTTTATATATGCAAAACTGTGCTTTTTTATTTATGCAACATTGGCATTGGACTTCTATCTTAAAGTAATATAACTTGACACACTATTTACAGTGAGCATTATACAGTGAAACAAAATAACTTTCCTTCAATGCCTCCTGCAGTCTCATGAGAAGCAGGCACTTTGCATTCAAAAAGTGGTACTTAAAAGGAGATTACAGGAGAACTATGGGGTTAAGGCTTTTCCCCATAGTTCTCCTTAGGGTAACGGGAGGACACAAACTAGCGTCCTCCCGTCACCCTAGGCTCAGTATACCACGAGCTGTAGCTTGCGGTATACTGAGACGCAGCTGTACATCAAAGTATTTCAGAATCACAGCATTTTACACCTGACATGTCTATGTTATTATTAAATTGTCATACATAGAGAAATGGATTGAAAGAATCTGATTTTTGAGTGTAAAGGTCTGCTTTAATGGTCCTACACAAACAAGTGGAACATAACAAAAAAAAATTAGTCACTTTTTCTAAAATGTGGCCCATTAAAATATACATGATCTGCACGGAGCATACTCACCAAATTAGCCATCACAATAGTGTCCACCATAACTGGATTATTTTTTATGCCCAAAGTAAACTGGAGTCCTCTTGGTGGTTGTCCAGTAGTCACATCAAAGCAATGTCCTTCCAGTAAAAAATATTCTAGTTCATAGCGTGCTGTCACAATGCCATCTACCTGGAAATACACAAAATATGTCATGTGATTAGCCAATTTTCTATGTAGAGCCAAAAGGAAATCTCACCGCTCCAATTCTTTAGCCACCATCAGGACTCCCCAGGTGCTGGTCCAATAGGTGCGTCTCCACCTTAGAATGCAGCAGTATACGTACAGACCGCACTATCCAGAGAATTCCAATACTACAGACTTCATTAAAATTTACAGCAAATCCAGTATATCAGTAAATAAAAGTGTATAAAACAACAAATGCCAGCACTGCACACCCCCAACCAACTACAACCTCTCACATGTTTCACCCGAACACTTATTCATAGAGACCTCTATGAATTGGTTGGGGGTGTGCAGTGCTGGCATTTGTTGCTTTATACACTTTTATTCACTGATATAATGGATTTGCTGTGAATTTTAATAAAGTCTGCAGTATTGGAATTCTCTTGATATGGCGGTCTGTTCGTATACTAGCCAATTTTCTAGACACTGCTTTTTAACATAGGTTAGGAACTAACTCAATGCCTAAGACTGCAGATAGCCCACCTGTCGCAATTGAATAAAGATTGGTTTTGGTGCATGTATAGATAAATATACGTTTTTGGATCCACTTCAATCCAACAGCTCTGCCAAAAACATGCCACAACTTCTTTTAGAATATTATGTTGATTATATTTGGTAATTAAACACTCTGTGATAAAAAGAAACAACTTTCCGATACACTGTATATCTTTTCTGATTGTATATGCAATTTTTTTGCCTTTTTCCTACTATACCCTCACTATCAATCCACTTCTCATGGTGCAGTTCTGTTTAACCTTAAAGTGACATTAAAGCCAAAAAATGTTTCCCCTCCCCCCCATGTAAATGTTAGCACTTACCTCAAATGATGTCTCTTATTCTGATCTTCTTCTTCTTTCCCCATGTTTTCATGTGTCCCTCCAGCGGTGCGACGTCACTCCAATCCAGCGCTGACTGCTCTGTCGCTCCGATCCAGCGGTGTCTGCAGGCGGGTGCACGCGACCATAGACTTACCTTGCGTCTCCCGGCCGAGAATCGGAACTGCGCATGCGTCCGCCCCAAGATCCTTTGCGGCCGTACGATCACTTCCTGATTCTTTGCGCGGGAACGAGCAGCGATAACGAGGTAAGTTTAAAACCAGTTCAAGCGGGGTTTTTTTAACTTCTTGCCTATATCTACTGCTTGCTAGCAGTAGATATAGGCAAAAAAAACCGGAGGGTTTAGAATCCCTTTAAGGTAATACCTTTCCAGTAAGTGTTGTGATTATCACATCTCTCAGCCACTATACAGGCAGGCAAGTGGCAACCTTATTTCCTGGTTTAGGTCCTTTTGTTACCTCCCCACCTTCAGTCTGCTCAGAGAAACAGATCTTTATGAGCAAGCAAGAAGGTAAAGGTAGAGTTGAAAGAGAAAATAGCTGGATCACTCTTCTGGCCATGCTGTATGACAGAAGTGTGTAGATCACAAGATTGGCAAAACAGAATTTTAAATCCTTTGGAAATTAAACAGTTCACATTTATGTTTTTGAACTGTGAGTTTATCTGGAGTACCTCTTAAGTGGAACACCCAGTAAGTATATGTAAACATTTTTTTCATGAAATGAGCAAAATTGAGCAATTCAGACCCAGTGTTTCACTTCGGAGTTTACGAGGAACAGTGTCAGCAGCCAGGAGGAACAGCTGTGGCATACCAGCAACAGTGCCAGCAACCAGGGGGTTAGAAGGAGCGTACCAGGAATGGAGCCAGCAAACTGGAATGACAGATGGAATGTACCTGGAGTAGTGCCTGTGGACTGTGTGGAGCAGATGACGTTACCGGAAGGCATAGGAAAGGAGAAGGCACATCAGCATAGACTTCAACACACACCTGGGGGCTTGGTATCACATGGGCAAACTTTGCACATTCATCTGTCCACTGAGTACACTGGCCCTTTAAGGAACCAGCTGGGTGACACGGCCATGCCTGATTGGCTGCAGCTGCGATAGCTAGGGTAAAACCTGGAAGTGAGCCCTTGGAGGTGCGCCACTGGAATTCAGAGATAAGTAGCGGCTACACACTTTACTCTGGTTATGCTATAATTTAAACATTGTCATTTTTTTTTTTTTTTAAATACTGCTAGAATTTTAGCAGTTTACCTGCAATATATCTTATAGGTAACCTCCCCAGTCCTCTGCACAACAGAAGATGAGGAGGTTATGCTCTATGAAAAAAATCACTATCTACTGAATTCTGAGGGCTGAGTAGGAGGGGGTTTAGGCAGCTTACAGGAGGAACAGTATCATTAGCAGTATAATTATACTCTTTTATAGTTCAATGAGCTACCACTGAAGAAAGCTGCAAAAGGCAATGGCAACATGATTGTGCTTCCCCAGGAATGTGACAGGAGTGTGAATTACAGAAGCAGTTGAAAGCGATCACGTATTTTTGCAAACCATAGCTCAAAACTGAATTTCAACCTTGTATTGCCGTTTGGCTGGAATGAGGCTTCACATTTTGATAAATAATACTAAGATACAAGTGGCAATGTGTTTGAGCATTTGAGGAGTAACAAAATTACTGGCACAAGAGCAAATTGGCAATTCACTAATCATCATTATGGTAACAATGAAATGTGGGCACTCACATCTTGTAGATGGATATTATCCAGATCACATGAACTGTGCAGGACTTCTATCAGCCAGCTCTCTGGGGTAATCATGTTCAAAGTTAACAGAGGTGACTCAGGCATATCTAAGAATTTGGCTGAAGGACCTGAAGAAAGGCTGTTATTACTTAAAAATATTAGTTCTGGCTCAAGCACAAGTCGATAGAAACTGAAAGAAAAAAAATTGAAACTAAAATTACAAAGAGGAAAATGAGCAGCTGCAAAAAATAAAAGAAAATGTTTCACTTCTTTCTCCAATTGTTTACTATGTACTATAAATAAATACACACACTAGGTCTACAGACTAGTCCAGGATTTTCATAAGTACATATAAATCTGACCAGGTAATATCCTTAATATTTCTACCATCCCCTAGTTCTCTGCAAACGCTCTAGCGTTAGAGCATTGTTTTATCACTATAGGCATAACATAATGGAACAAATTACAGAGCATATATGCATCTACCTTATTTCTACAAAATACAACTTTGTCCTACCTTTTCAAAGGCATTTCGGAAAGTTTTGCTTTGCAATTCATGAACATAGTCAGCTTCATATTCATTAGTCGAGAAAGCACCTAAAAAGCACAAACAAAACTTGCATACTGTAACTAAGCAGTAGTTATACAGCGTTAGCTATCAATGCAGAAAGTTTGGAGTTCAAGTCATACACTTTACATTAGCCAATATAGGGTATCACTGAACTGCCAAACCTCCTGCATACTATAACTAACAGATACGCCACAAAAAATATTAATCACTTTGGCATTCCAGTACTGGTGTTCTTAATTCACTTCCCATCAGTAGCACGGTCTGCTTGCAGTTTTATTACACATATTGCAGATCTTCCGCCTGACCTCATGTAACTGCCATGACTACAGTGACCTGAGTTCAGAGGGAGAAACCAGTGAGAGCTGTAGTGCCACAGAGATCAACACTCCCGGAAGCTCCAGTTTTACTAGAAGACTTTGCAGCACCCAATATCTTCAACGGAGCAGCATTGGTTGGCACATGAGGTAGGAAGGTATGTACCTTCTTCTTTTATAGGTATAGCCTTGGGTTAATAAATGTTAGAATGTGATAGGGCCTCTTCAAAACTAAGCTGTAATTAAGCTCTTTAACAGACTTGGGAGCTGCACCATGTAGATGTAGGGTTGATTATAGTGGTTTACTTTGAATACCCATGATCGGGTTTGTAAAATAAACAAAGGGTTACTAACATTAAGCTTGCAACGTGAGGAGAGAACAGCCTCTAAATAAATAAAATACTAATTTAGTAAATCAACCCTGATGTTTTCTCATTACATTTTTTTTCTTTTTACTCCTTGGTCTTTATTGTTTATTTTTCTTACAACCCCCTCCCACCCAAAAAAACCAAACAAAATAGGTAGTATAGAGCAAAAATAATCAAGATGGGCTTAATGGGTACTATTTTCATGTACATACTTGCTCACTATTCCTTGGACATCATCAGTTCACAAATAAAGCAAGACAATGCCAGCTCTCATTTGCCTTCGACAAAATGCTTTTATTTGATTAATATACTAAATTTTTAGCAAGTAAATCAAACAAAACAAGGACAAAGTAAACAAAGAACATAGGAACACATCAATTCATAATCCCATTTCTACTCCCCGTGAATGAATCCCTCTTACATAACGCACAACTAATTCAACACAAGGACAAGAAAATGTTCCAAGTACATTATTCACTTACAATCAGTAAGTGCGACATTTGTTGAGCTTCTCTTGACAGAGGGTCAAGCACAGCAACGACATCGAGAAAAGGACCCTCCTCTTGGGGTTCAACTTTGATAAGACTGCAAAGAAATGAAAAAGGCAGAAAGTAATGGTTACAGCTGTAGCTAGAAATCATTTCCAACACCTTTCAGTACAAACATAGAAGATAATGCAGAGAAAAACAACAGTAGTACGAAATGGTTTCAGCAGGGCTGGCAGGATATCAATAGCAAAGAAAAGTAAACATTACTATCACACATTTTATATTTTCATGTAAGAAAGTGTTTTAGCACACTTTGTAGTGAATTCCTTTTAATGCCACTATCTAAAAATGATTATATCTTAAAAAAAATAAGATTTTTGGTAAAAATCCTTTTTTTCTGTGTTTAGTGAAGGACATATTGGAGAGCTTCAGATCTTGAAGTTACACTTCAGGAGTATGACACTAGACATAAAAAGCAAAGCACAGCCTAAAAGTAGCCCCTGCTTATGTCCAAACCCCCAACTGCTAGAGGAAGCTGAGTTAGTCAAAAAGCAGTACCAAAGAGCAACAACTGATCACAAACCCAACAACCAGATGGCTGGGCGCTGTGCCCTTCAATAAACTCGGAGAAAAGGATTTTACGCCGAGTACAAAAAAAAATCCTATTTTCTCTTCTGCTCATTGGAGGGCAGCAGAAAGTTTCAGATCTTGAGTGTTGGGATGTCACAAAGCAGTATCTACCGAGGAATAGGAAAAAACTAAAACTCTAAGCCCCGGGCAGTAACAATCACAGTCACCTGTAGAGTTCCCAGACTCTTGAACATGTATGGGCCAGTTCCATGAGCAATTCATAGTCCTGGGTAAAGCAGATGCTACATACAGAACCCTCCCTCCCCCCAGGATCAAAAAGGACTACTGGACCATAAAAAAAACTGGAGACTTTGCGACAACATCACAAACAGGGAAATGGAAGCCAGATGGCAGAACCCCAGGATAACTCCGAGAACTAGCAAGCTGCAACCAACAGAAAAGGGAAAAACCCCGATCCCAAACCATACTAAAACAAACTACAATCCAAGCCAACGTTACGGAGGCATGAAAAGCTGGTTCCCCTATTTGCAAACCACTAGGGATGACAAAAAAAAAGTCAGGTTGTCAAAACAACGGTAGTAGCTGCGAACAGGCACCACAGGACAACCCACGCCCAGGCAACTAAGGCATATCTCTCCCTAATGACCCAAAGCCAGACCATGGAACGAGGGAACAATATATTAGAGGGTCGAGTGACCGACTCCATCTAAAGTAAAAGGGAGGGCCAGGAATCAACTCCACCTGCCTCACAGAGGTGCTAGTAACTAAGGATGGGCTCGGGCATGTTCGCAGCTCCACTTGCCGAGCCCGCCAGGAAGCTGACAGCGCCAATCACAGGTACTGAGACATTTTTCCGGTCCGCAGCTGCATAGATCAGGAAATGTCTCAGTGCCTGTGATTGGCGCTGCGCGCTGTCAGCTTCCTGGCGGGCTCGGCACGTGGAGCTGCAAACATGCCCAAGCCCATCCTTACTAGTAACCAGTAAAACAACCTTGTGAGGAAGAATGGAGAGGGAATAGCTTGAAAAGGTTATTACAGAACCACAGACAGAAACAGACTCAAACATCCCATGAAGGACTAAGGGACAATCTCTTTCAAGTCATCTGAAAGAGCAAAATCCATCCCTGAATAATAACCAGGGGTAAAAGCTTCCTATTCACACATGAGCATGAGCAAGGACTGACCCACAGGAGTTGGGATACCCTGCCAGAACAGCATGGGGTTTACCGATTCAAAGACCCCCCTGTCCCATAAATCAGTAGTCCACTGTAGCACAAAAGTCGATACACCCCCAAAATATAGAAAAAACGATATGCAGAGGTCCGAAAGAAGAGGGCAAGTGGAACTGCTTCAAAGGAAGTTACCAACAGGCCCAGAACTCTCACGTGGAGTCGCCGCGTTAGAGGCCTCCAGGACAGTAGAAACCAAGTGTCAGGAAAACCGCACACAGCAGATGGCGTCTGCGCATGCGCACGGCGTGACCCGCAGTGTCAGGCCGGGCACTTTCACACAGACGTCCGTGCGCGCGCATCTGCGACGTATTGTGGCGCCAAACGGGCTATTTAAGCTCAGCTCCTTCATGTCTCCAGTGCTGAGTACTCTTTCAGCTTGTGCCCTGTATCCTGTGCCTGTTCCTCGTTGTATCGATCATTGTTATTTACCCCGGCTTGCTCCTGACTCTGCTGACTTTCTGGTATCCTGACCCTGGCTTGTCTAGACGATTCTCCTGCTTCCTGCCTGTTCCTGCATTGCCCGCATGTTACCAAACCCGGCCTGTGACCCGACCACGAGTTTGCCTACTGCTATACAACCTCTCTGCCTGCACGTTGCTGACCCGGTCTGCCTGACTTCGTTTACTGTCTGCCTCCCTGCTGTGCGTTTATATTATCTCTCACAGCAAGAGACCGTACGAGTTAACACCTGGTACCGAAGTCCTCATCCAGGCACTCGTGCCCCGCTGTGCCCCAGGGTACCTGTCTTCTCTATCAGGCCTTCTGGGACCAGAGTTGCAAGAGAGGGGCCGCCCTCGTCATCTCAAGCTCCATCAGGTACGTGACACCAAGAGTAAAAGTGAAGAGCCAGGATAAGTCTTAGAAAAGAGAGGGTAGCTAGGGCAAGATCCAAAGACTCCAAGCACAGCGTCGATTCCAGAGCTGCATCCTGCAATCCTAGTAGGTAGGGACTGTCTGTAACACTTGTCTGTTGAAAATCGTTACAACTATTTCTGATCACAGATTATCTAGAAATCCACATTGGAATACGTTTGGGAGCTCAGGAAGACCAGGACAAAAGACAGAAACTCTGGCAAACACACTATGTGGAAAACAGACCAAACACTAGGACCACAAACTGTGCAGTATACATTGCCCACAGCAAACAAAGGCAGTACAGGTGTGTTGAAAGATGCCCATCTACGATACCTACAGAAATAATGGCTTCCTGAAAAAAAGGGACTATTGCAGATCAGATGGATTCCAATGAGAACCCTGGCATAAACTGAAAAGAAGTACCTTGTTAGCGGCAAGGTTCCCTACAATTAAAGTTGAGGTAGGAAGATGCCCTAGCCGCATGGGAGGAACTAAATATCATTCTGTGTGGTGCCAAACAGGCAATCCTCTTAAAAAGAAAAAGGTCCAACAGGGTCCTCTTAAGAGGTCCAATACATGAGCCCCAGTTGGAAGCAAGAACAATCAATGAGACAAAATCCAGAATGCAGGAGTCCCGCATCTAGTGAGGCAAAACATCTTACTGAAATCCAAGAGCTACCCATTTGCAGCACAACGGAAACCTGTTGTGCTGCACATGGATACCTGTGCAACCTCCCACCCCTCACGCAAAGGTCTTGACCACTCGGGGGGACCAGAGACACTTTCAGAACCAGAGTAAAGGGGTCATATGGAAAGACCGACCAGAAAACCCAGACCTCAGGGAGTGGAGAGGAAGGGGTAAATGAGTGCCTGCATATTCACAAGCAAAGACGACGCAGGACACAAGCCTGAATGGGAAAAAGGGTTAAACTACAAGACAGCAGTGGAAGACCAGCCCCCTTAGCAAACTAGCAGGAAGCAGAGAGGACAGGAGCAGCAAAAAAAAAAACAAAACACAGCAGGGGACTCCAAGAGGACCAGACAGGAAGTACACACCCGCAACACTGTGTACCCACTTAGAGCAGCAGCAATCGATCCAGTGCTCACACACGGGATCCTTTGATAGGGTTGGCGAATGGAGAGACTACAAGTCCTGTCTGCCCTCGTAGCAGAAGTACTTGTAGTTCTCAATGGAGGACACATGCAGTGACGTCACCGCACTTGTAGCCAATTCATGCTTCTTCCCGTCCCATAGCTGAGAGGGAGTCTCCATACAGACAAGGGCTGGTAGGAACAGTCTGCAGGAGCCAGAACATTGCATCCAAGAGCCACTGCTTGTGGTTGCAATGCTTTGCAGACTCAAATGCAAAAAAATAATACATGCAATTTTGTTTACTTTCAGTAATGTGTGTTCTTTATCTTTTTTTTTTGGCAAAAGCTACACTATGTCTTTAATGCCCTGTGCATGACACATGGCCTGCAAGCGGACACTGGATCCAAGGGAACTGCTTCCCCTACAGATGTCATACTATAAAAACAGCAAATGAACAGGAATCACCATCAATTAGTGGAAAATATTCAAACGATAAAGTCCATTTAATCGGACAATTCATCATACATGTTGCAATAATTATAACCAATGTTTCGGAGCCACACAGGGACCCTTCATCAGGGCAACAATGTGTTGCATTGTTGCCCATTGGTGCTTCCGTGAGTATCACTGGAAGCACCATTATTGTGATTCGGGCAGGAGACGCTGTGAGGAGTGCAGGGGGACATATTGGACTTTAATACTATAAAAACAGTTATCCCTCTCTGTACCCCAAGCTGGATATCACATTTTAGTAAGATGGTGCCAGAATAGTTCAAGAACCCTACACAAATCAAATTACCTGGTATGCAGGGCCTCAGGGATTTAGAAGAAAATTATGGCTTCAGAGGTGCAAGATCTGTAGGAGCTGCTCTACTGCTAAGTATTAGAGGGCTTAAGAACTCAATACATAACTACACATAACCAAACTTTATATGACTACAGTCGATTTTATCCTATTAAGCCTACTTCACACAGCTCATTCGTCTGGATCAGAGAGAAGTCTCCAGTAGGTTATATCTTCTGTCTACTTCCCAGGAATTTCAGTTTGACTTTAAATAATTTATAAGGCCTTAACGTCTGAACTATAACTGAGCATATTTTATTATGGAGAAGTGTTTGCCAAGGTTGGCACTTTTTTTGCTTTTATATTTTAAGACTAATTGCAAAGCTGTGTGGAGACCAGGGCATAACAGTTTATTCCAGAACTCTATGACCAGAACATTTTATACATAAACATGAAAATTGAGGGTGAATGCACCAAAACCATATAGTTACAATAAATGTGTGTTTTTCGAGAATATAAAAATAATTTGTATTAAGGAGCTGTGTCAGGCTTACACTAGTATACTGCAGGACAATATTATATCCTTCTCAGACTTTAAGCACAGGTGCTCCTGTTAATCACAAATTGATCATTTAATTCACGTCAAAGTTGAACTCCGGTCAGCTTAGAAAAAATGTCAGGCAGATTCAGGATCTAATTTTTGTTTACTCTGGGTACATGAGATTGTAGTCCATCACAGGAGAGAGCTTGGAGTGGTGGCTACTTTACAACACACACAGGGACCATGGGAAACAAAAGTAGCCACCCCCCAGAAGGAAGGATAGTGTCAGCACCAATTCAGAGATGATTTGAGGATCTAAAGCTGAATGATACACAAATGAACTACATTTCTGTTAATAGTTAACGTACTTAAATGCCTTTTTAGATTTACCTCCTGAGTTTAGTGTCACTTCAGACCCCATTCACACCAGCGCAACAGTGTTTTAGTGCTTTTTTCAGCGCGTTGTACCATGTTTTTTATGCTCGTTTAACAGGCGTTTGCTGTTTATATGCAAGAGCGTTTTAAGGCTCGCTTTCAGTTGTCCATTGAAAAGCAGTCTCAGCTGCAAAAATGCACTAAAAAAAGAAGAGCAAAAAAGTGCAAATACGCACTGCACGTTTCCATTGAAGTCTATGGAGCAAAATGAGCTGATAAGCTCCACAAAAGAAGCTCATGCACTATTTTAAACAACGGGAGCAATTTTTTTGCACGATTCAGCACGTTTGCGTGAAGGGCCCCCATAGGAATACCTGGGATTTTGATTTGCATGCATTTCAGCGTGGAAAAAAAAATGTGCGACGAAACACCCTGGTGTGAATGGGGCCTTAAGTAGATGAATTAATCCCCTTTAATGGTGGCCCAATGGCTAACATTAACTAATCGAATTTTTCCCAATTGGAGATTATGAACATTTAAATAGGCCTCCTAAATTTCAGAAAACCTGTACAATCTAAATTTACACTAATTTGCATTCTAAGGCATGGCTAGCTGTCACTATGGTCCTTCTCTTTGTGACCTCTTTTTTATTCTGACCAGCTTTGCCTGTGTATATGTAAAAAATGACTCCACAAGACTGTCATTATTTTACTGTACCGTTGTTTGATATGGATGCTGTACAACAGTTTTCATTAAAGGCTAAGTTTACCTTTCTGACTAGGTTTTATTTTACACCCAAATTCAGGGCTTAACATGAAACATGGTCACATTCCAACCCCCTCCACAAGCTTTGAAACACAGAACAAGGATGTAGATCAGGAAATTCATACTTAATCTAGGTCAGTGATTTAAACCTCAAAGGGTCAATATTACAGCCATGTAACTACCATTTCCACAAGTAAAGGTCAATAATGATACCCTCCATTTTTCTCTCAGGAGAGGTTTTCTTTTTTATATTTGGGTATATAACTGCTTAACATCCACTATACCTCAATCTATGCACAGGCAATTAATATTTTTTGTATGATCTGTACTCGCTTAGTGCTGCATTTAACCATAGACCTTGTCACCATAAACAGAAAATTGTCGCTCTTCATAATGATCAAACAGAGAAATCTTTATTCTCACTTTAGAAGACTCAGGTGCCAGAGAATCTGCAGTTAAATGTACTTCCTTTGACAGACATATTTTGTAAAGAAAGCAGCAATTTGAAGTTCTGCTCAAACAAAATCATATTTGTTTGCCATAAACCATAAATAACTTATGTACACTTTTTTTCATCTGTTCAGAGGTAGAGTGTGATTGTTTACTCACAGTCTTTGACAAATAAAATACAGAAGAAGTTCTGTTTGCCAACATCAAAAAACATTAACATGTTCCCCAGACATCTAGAATTCAACTCACAACTTCTTTATGAGCATTTACTATCAAAAAAAGAGTACATCAAAATAGGTTATATATGTTGTGACATACAGATTACCATTTTATCAATTTAATGCCATTATTTTGTATTAATGGCCTTGCTATTCAGGTTTCTAAAATATAATCTCTAGTTCATTGTATTTTAGGTACACAGTAGCTGCCCCAAACATTCTGTAGATTTAAAGGAGAACTATGAGGTGAGTGCTTTTCACTCACCTCATAGTTCTAGCCAGCCTGTGACAATGAAACTGTCACAGGTCGGCTCAGTAGATCGGGAAGTGAGCGAACACATACCGGCGTTCGCTCACTTCTCATGGCAGAGAGCCATGACAGGGGAGGGACTGGATTCCCCCCTCCGATCCTCCAGCGCTGACTGGCGGAATGGAAGGGGGAGGGGGCTGGTACAGCTGGCTCTAGATAGGCAGAGCCAGCTGTCACTCACGCAGCTGGGCGGATCCAGACATAATTGTCGGGATCCGTTTCAGCTGCGGCGTCTCAGTATACCGCAAGCTGCAGCTCGCGGTATACTGAGCTTTCGGTAACGGGAGGACGCTAGTTTGTGTCCTACCGTTACCCTTCGGAGAACTATGGGGAAAAGCCCTAACCCCATAGTTCTCCTTTAAAGGTTTAAGTGGTCACACAATTACAATTATCAGCAATGTTACCAACTGACTGTTTACAACTTATCTAGGAGGAGATAAGTACTGTACCTCTGGTTGCCACAATGGTCTCTCTTTTTGTGTGTGTGTGTTTACAGATACACAGATATATATATATACACATACACACATACCACATACTATATATAGTTATTCACATTACATTCACAACAATATTAACATGCATGTCCTTACCTATGTTTCTGTTTCGCAAACTTTAAGTCTTGCCTTGACTCTCCTTTGGACATAGATGAGAGAAGAGAGTCCACCTTCATAACCAAATCACTTGAACTACTTAAAAATACCAAAATGTGACATTTTTAATATACCATGATGCAAATACAAGAGATATGGTCAAGGAACAAAAGTAAAAGATATGGCACTAAATTAATTTAACAGTGGTATGAGATAACAGTTTAACATAAATATATTCAGGGATTGTATGCTGGAAATGTTAGAAATCTGTGAGGGAATTCAAAAACACATACAATAACTCACTAGAGCTGCAACAGTTAATCGATTTAGTCGATTAAAATCGACGATTGAAAACGTTACCAACGTTTTCGATCGTCGATTCGTCGGCTATCAATTGATTTCCCTGTTCGGGGCTCTACACGCGGCCTGAAGCACACGTCACACGCTGCTCACGTACTTTACACTTTCCATTTCACTATTGCACACCACTTTTTTTTTTTTTACTTCCACCGCTCCAAGCTTGCTCCCGTGATGGACTACAATCTCAATACAAACTAGTAGTCCATCACTGGAGACTTTTTTTTTTTAAATCCGATTAATCGAACGTAATAATCGGCTAACTAATCGATTATGAAAATAATCGTTAGCTGCAGCTCTAACTCACACTTATACAGAAACATAACAGTGCATCACATGAAAATATTCACACTGTTATGCCACCATTTTAATCTCACATTGCCATACCTGTGTATAAAGCTATGCACAACAATTTGTTACCTATTGGTTTAATGAACTATAACTGCTTCCAGTTATACCTTTGTTTTGTCAAATAAAAATAAAAATGTATCAAACAGAAATAATAGCTATTGGCAAGTTCTAAACCCCATTGAATGAGTGACCGAGGCCAGAACACAGTATTTTTCTTTTTTTTCCTCTTTATTATGCAAACTATTTTTAATAATAAATCCAATGTAGTATTTAGGAAGCATGTCACTTTTATGCTTGGATCATTCACGTTTTAGCTAGAACCACTAGGAAACTAACTTTGGCAGTAAAGCTTCAGGTAATCAGTAGATCATTCTATTGCTAATATTATACTGATTTTTTACTATGGATGTGCCAAAGAAATGTATACAGTTATGGCATTCAAAAAATGGCCAGGAGGCATTAGGCAACCCAATGCTACCAAGGCTTACTTAAAATACCTGGAAAGTGGCATAAAGTAGGAACTAGAGAATGTTAGACTGCTTAATATTTGTTCTTTCTAGAATACACATTTAATTGGAAGTAAAAAAGAACACGTCTATTCAAAGTTAAGTGTGCAGAAGTAGCTGAGCAATGTAGTTCATTCCATTGTTATTACAGACGAAGAGTGTTTCATTGCTCTATCATCCTCTTTAATTTGCTAAATCTCATCTGGTGTGTTCTTATTACAACTTCTCGTTTATTGTATTTTGTGTTCTCCACATAATGACTTTTTCTCAAAGTATTCTAGTGCCTTTCATAAGCTGGCATATTTTTGAAGGCATACTAATTGGAGGAGTCTGCTGTTATTTTGAAAATACTACGTGAATTGTTTTGGACTTTTGAATCAGTTTTCTAGCTTACACTATTACATAAAGAAGCAATTTACAAATCAAAGAGCATCACATTTTGTTTGAAAAGATGGTAAAGACATACCTTTCCAAGTAAAATTAATTTGTCTTTGCTGCTGCAACAGAGACCTTGTGCTTTGTGTTTTTTTAACTTGTCATTACAATTTAAAATGTGAGGTTTTATTATTAATATTTATAGTGGAACTTCAAAAAAATTGCTAATTTAAAGCTATGATAATATAGGCATCGATAAATGAAGCATAATACAGGGACATGCAGTTCTTGAAGAAAATGCTTCTCCAGGTTTCAATGCTGGTCACTTGATGCATAGTGTTCTGCAGCTTATATTACCATCAGCCAATTGTGTTAAGCTCAGAGGTACAAGGCTACCGCTACACTTGTGGCTTCTAAAAAAAATGTTTTGACAGAGTGATGAAGACCAGCCCTGGAAGTCGATTGAAGCAAACTGGTTTAGTTTCAAAGGTGGTGGTAGCCTAAGACCTGTTTAGCATCTAGCATAAGACTGCTCATAAGCAGGGGTATGAGTTGTAGCACAGCACTTTAAAGATACGAGTGCACAGATTTTCACTTCCTGGGCTAAAGAGTACATATAACTGTGTGTAAGGAAGCACACAAAGTCCTTTCAGCTGAGATATAATTTATCAAGAAACTGGAAAACATCTTAAAGACATTTTCTGGCCAACATGACTGTTCATGTTGCTCATCTATATTGGAGAATACTGCCATGAATATAAAAGGAGTTAGACTTGCAGTACTCACACTTTAAAACACGCATAATATATTTCCTAATTAATTGTGTAGATTTTGCTCATCTCTAGCCTTATGCCAACTAAATGATACCATATCTATTCTACTTTAGGGAAAATCTAATTTGAACCAAGAAACAGAAACTTAAAATTAGGAATATAACGGATAACTCAAATATAAAATGTTGCCCATAATTTCTTCATTACTTTTCAGTTTAACAGAAATGATTATTCTTGCCTTTCCACACTTTGCATTACTGCAGAACAAGTAACCCATTAGCATTTCTTTCTGCGTCATCCGTTGTCCAGCAATTTCAAACACAATGGAGAAACACTCTGTCAAACTAAAACCTGGAAGATTCATATTGAAAGTTGCATAAGGTTTATTAAATACCTGCAAAAATGTGCCTGTTCCAGCACAAGAGGGCGTGTAGCTAAACCTCTGTCAGATGGTAAGTGCAATATAACTGTAAAGTTCATTTTGAAGAAAACGTCATCATTTAAATGAGGAGATAATGGGCTATTAATTCAATAGACAGATCGAAGAGTGAAATATGTTCTTTTAACAAGTAAGTATTATCAGGTCCACTGAAAAACAAACAAACTCGCTCCTGGAGGTGTCATATGAACAATGGTTTGGGATCCAATTTAAAAACACTTAAATAATGTGCTGACTACAAGTTCCAGAAAGGAACTGGAGACTCTGGTACTAAATCACTCAAACTGACCCTTTGTAAGGGTATAATAATTTAGATCTACTTTAAACTGAAATCATAATAATGGGATGCTTTACTGCACCTTGCAATAGACTGAAGAAAAAAAGTGCCAATGAACTACAGAAAATAACCAGAGCATGCAGAAGCTGAGCTTCAGGTAAACATTTAAAATATACATTTAGATATATTTAACCAAAGTATTTGAAATTCTGGTCATTCGCTCTTGTCATTTACACAAATACAACACATACTGCACAAGCAGGGTGTTCACTGAAAGATTTCCTAAATCAGTCTTACAGCTTCCCAATTTTCTGCTCAAGAAACAATGTTCATGATGCAGATTTACAGTAAAATAAACAGAAGGCAGAGAGGTGACAAGAAGCTGCAATGTAGAATCAGGAAGTAGATATATTACCTGCCTGGCTATGCAGCATGATGGTAACACATACATCAAAAGGATTAGTTTAACAACTATACAAATATTTGGTAGGCAACACTGCACACATATTAGCATTGCAAATGTTTATTTAGATGTGTCAGGTTTTGTTTTTTTTTACAAAATATCAATGTAAAAAACCTAATATTTACCGTTTTGATGGAGCGGTCATCTTTTTCACAAGGTTCTTTATTTTTTCTGCTGAAGTAGTGTAAGTAATCTTTTCCAGCAGATGAAAGTCTTCTTCATGAAACTCTTCTGGAGTTATGTTGCTTAACAGCTGAAGAAAACAGCAATGATGTTAACATAAAACAAGTACATTATAAAAATTCTAAGAAGCATACACCCCCAGTGCCATCTAATCTTTCCCTATTATGGTGGAGCAATATGCCAATTGCCTACAGAAATATGGGAGCTACCACTGCTGAATTACTTTTAAAACAGCAGGTTGCATGGCTGTCATCCTCTGATCCTGGCTACACGACTGCACAAGTCACCAAAGTCACTGCATCCAATGAGTCAGAATATGCTTGCTGAAGGTCTGTGACTCACTATGTATTGAATTTGCACCTTTATAAACATATAGGCAATAGAAGCTCCCAGATTACTATCCGATTTTGTCACAAAATAGGGTAAATAATCCATGCCTGATATGATCACTAGGTCCTTAACCAACAGATAACAAATTGAAATTATGGACACTTTATTCTATAAACTGCTAGCATTCAAACCCAAGGACTATACGAGTTTTGACAAAGTTGCACCCTCTGTTCTCTTCCTAAAGCTGAGCTCCATGCACAAATTCTCCACCCTGTTCAATCAATTTACAAAACAACGTTTGTTGAGATTGGTGCTGGCAGAATTTTGGCCAATTCAGCAGCAATTGGACAAAATACAAGCCATGCATGGACAACTTTAATCTAGCCCCACATCTGCTCCACAGATCAGCTGCCTGTAGCGGTTTGTTGTCTTGGAGCTAAGGATGATGAATGGAGAGAACACGATGGCAGGGTATTGTGTGCAGGAAGTAAATAAACAAATGTCAATGCTTGTGGTATCTGTGCTATCTCAGCTCTAAGGCAACTAAAGATGGCCATACACTACTTACATTTTGGCCAAGTCCTGCTCACTTAGCCAAAATGGAAGTTGTGTTAACCCTGCTGGCACGATCCAACGGAACCAGGTAGATCATTATTGGCCAAATAGTGACTGCAGCCAATCAGCAACTGGCAGATGCAGGACGCCAAGCAGTGAGAATAGTGGCCCTTTATAACCTGCACGCCTCCTGCCTCTAATTGATCTCTGGTCACAGAGAATGGCAGGGATTAGGCTTTTAAGTGAACACGCTACAGAAGCAGAAAATTATGCAGAGTGCCCCAAGGGCCCGAGGAAAGGAGACATTTTGCAAAAAGAGGGATACAGAGCACATGGACAAGATATATATTTCTGAACTCATCCAACTAGAATCAGAACTAGAGCACAGCACATGAGTCCCCACATGAGTCCCAAGCAACTTAAGTGTGATCACAGATATAGACAGATAACAAATGAGTAACCTGTAACAAACATTATTCCCATAACTGGGCTACACTTATTGGACTGCTCGGCTAATAAGCAGTATACTGTATACCTGTACAGATACCGTCCCAAATTCAGACTGCAATCTAATATTCCTGCCAGATGTTTTCACACAAATGAATGTACTGTATAATCTAGGACCCAACCAGTCTGCCAGCATGCTTTGAGGTTCCTGATGAATTCTGTATCTAGGACCCCAGAGCTGTAGGCCAGTTTAGGAAAAGGCTTATTCAAATAGCTGCCTTTGCCAATGAAACACTCTACAAACATAATTCAGGTAACAAGGCTCAAGCATTTTACTACAGAAATATTGAATATTCAGCAGATAAAACAGACTGTTAAATTGATAGATTGTGGATTCAATCCATCCATTTCACTTCTGTTCCATTATAGGCGGCATAAGCCAGTGGCCAAAAATAATTCCCCAGAAAGTGCAATAAATAAAATAAAAAATAAACCGTTTTAGCTCACTGCAGGAATAATTGACAAAATAATTTAAAATGAGAGAAGAAAAAAAAAGGTAAAAAATGCAAATTTCAATATCTCTGTGATAATGTGAAAATAAAATGCATTAAATTTACTTGAAGTGTTAAACTATCCATTAAAGACTTACATAATTATCTTCAAAACACAGTGTAATAATTGCCTGTAAGCCTTTATTTATGGTTAAACGGCATGCAGAGCAGCACAAGATAGCCTATAAACCACAGCACTTAACTCTCTTTAACTGCATACACTTATGATTAGGCCATATTTCTCGCAGCACTACAAAGATTCAACCATTCTGCTATATCCAAGAATCAAATTCCGCAAGTGGAAGGAAAAGAGCTTTAAAATATACACATCTAGGTTTCCCTGTGCTTTCCCAGCAGTGCCTTAAATCGCACCCCTTATTTCAACAAAAAAAATAACAAACTGCTGCTTAATGTGACAAACTTAATAACTTAATTCCACCTATTAAAAACAAAGGAAAATAGTTACTTGGGGTAAAATAATGTGAAGGATCGTCAGTCACCTACACTGTTTCGAACAATAATTTAGAATACTGCTGCTGAAAAATGTTTTGTACAGTATAATATTCCTTTATTGTTTCTATATTTAACAATACAGACACATAAACATGTAAGCATCCTGTTAAAAGACTCTGCAGCTGAAAAATTATAGAAATCTATTGCTTAATATTTATTGAAATTTGTTTTCTATAGTGATGGTCAGAGGATAATTGCTGACCTTCTAATACACTTTCTGCAAATACAGTATCTTATTGTTAAATTACTATTCCCCTTGCACTTGCCTGCTTTCCTAAACAACTAGGACCTTACCTTTGGGTCAAGTTGATGCTTTATTACAAAGCTGCCATTCTCCAACATGTTGATACATTTACTTAACAGCTTAGTGTAAACACTATTTACGTTTTAACTTTTCATTGCATATGCCATCTCCTGTGAGAGGCTCTATATGTACTTTTTATCATGCTTTGGGACTGTAGCCTTTGTTATACTCCTAAGACAGTGATGGCGAACCTTTTTGAACCCGAGTGCCCAAACTCAATTTATTTATCTCAAAGTTTAATATTGCAGTTTGGGCGCTCGGGTTTAAGAAATGTTCAACATCACTGCCTAACGGCCTTGTACGGCTCTCACGGGGGACCCGAACTTCCCGGATCGCCTCTGTAGTCGGGCCGGTCACATCAGGCAGCGGCGGTGACCTCTAAACAGGCAGATTAGACGGCCGTTTGCGGGGGCCTCCTCAGTCCCCCAATCCCCCCAAGCCAGCTATCACCCACAGACTCCCCAACCTTACCTACATCCAGGCTGCAGCACCTCTGCTTGGCGGCCAGTGGAGGGGTCACAGGAGAGGGTCCTCACTCACGCTGACCCACATACCAGGATGTCGCTGTGGCTTTGGCTGCCTGCAGAGACGGATATCGTCTCCGCCTCCCCCAGGCTAAAGGTGCCCATACACCTTACGACCATCGCAAGACTTTTGTCTTGCGATGGTCGTATGCTTCTTGAAAGCCCGTACGATCTGCCCACCTTGGACGGGCAGATCGTACTTGCGATCATCGAAAGCCCGC